CAGCGGAAGTGGCCGCCTTGGTTTGTGAGTGGCCTGAGAGCCCCAGGATCCTGTCTGAGAACTGGGTCAGCCCTGCAGTCACTCCCCACCTGCCTGGTAGCCGCACCCGGCAGGGGCCCTGACTTCCCCTGTAGCCCCTTTCTGGCTGAGTCCCCAAGAATAGGCTGCGGCCAGGGGTGCCTGGGTGGCTCAGTGGGTTAAAGCCTCTGCCTTTGGCTCAGGTCATGATCCCAGGGTCCTGGGATGGAGCCCGGCATCTGGCTCTCTGCTCAGCAGGGAGCCTGCTTCCCTTCCTCTCTCCACCTGCCTCTCTGCCTACTTGTGATCTATCTGTCAAATAAATAAATAAAATCTTAAAAAAAAAAAAAAAAAAAAAAAAGAACAGGCTGCGGCCAGGCAGAAGCAGCCCCTTTCTGGCTGAGTCTCCAAGAAGAGGCTGGGACTGGGCAGAAGCTGGGCCAGCTGACATCCCCTGAGGCCAACCAGGAGGCTGTCCCCCTGCAAACAGGTCTGACCTCACGTCTCCAGGAAGTTCTGCCTGGGAGGGGGTGGATAGGCGCTTCCTGTCCCTGCTGACAGGGCAGCAGTCAGTGTCTGGGGGAAGGGGAGGTGTCCTTACCCTCCAGAAAGAGGCCAGGCCCACCAGTTCTCATCCAGCACCTTGACCAGAGGCTCCAAATATGAGGCTCATTGGCCATTTCATTAGCATCCCTTCCGCCCAAAGGCCCCCAACCTCATTTCTTACTTGATTCATTTCTTCAATCCACAAATGTTCAGTGCCAAGGACAGGAGGGGACAGTGAACAAAAGACCCAGCATCCCAGTCCTGGGGGAGACCACTGTCCTCTCTGATAAAGTCGTGCCTTCCCGGGGCTCAGCCAAACATCACCTTCTCCAGGAAGCCCTCCCTGATCACACAACTATCCCTCTGGCCACTGGCTTTATCTATCTGTCTCTTAGGACTCGGGCCGCATCCCCCTCAGGACGGCCTTGTGTAATCTGGCTCTGCCTTCCTGAGACCAGTGGCCAGATGGGTCTCAGTAAGAGGCAGCCACTGTCACCATCAGCATCCATGCCGCCCACCTTCCATCATCACCAACGAGGGATAAGGTTCCTCCAGTCCTGCCAACCCCTTGCCTGGCTCCCTGCCTCTGGCAGACGGTGTGCAGTTGTGAGCAGCTCCCATGCAGGCGAACCCTATTTAAGAAAACTCGACATTGGAAAATCCCAAGTCACAACTCCCAGGCAGGGGTCCCTGGCTTGCTGCCCGCAGAGGCCTCCCTCAGTATCCGAGTCCCACAGGACCGCTGCAGCCCTGCCCAGGGGAAGGTCAAACTCTAAAGAGAAGCCTGCCTGTCAGTTGGTTCCCCAATGCCCTGAGGTCACCGCTGAGATTTCACTTTCCACCTGGAGCGACTTCGGTCAGGGCTGATGCCACAGGGGCGCTTCAGGCAAGGCGGAGGTGGTGGGGGCTTCGGTGCCCCGCAAATGCATGGGCCTGGTCCTCGGACCCTCCACTGGCCTGTGTCCACTTCCCAGGAGGAGGGTCAGGGCGGGCCTCTCCCAGGGCTTAAGGATCCACCTCTGGCAGGAACACGGAGTCCCTGCACAGCTGGGAGGAAGGAATCCTGGGCTGTGGAAGGGAGCACTTGGCTGGCAGGACAGTGGGTTCCCTGTTCTCGCCAGGCCTAGTAAGCAAAGCCCCAGGAGACAGCGAGGGCTGGGATGTCGGCCCAGCAGATCCAGCCCTGCGGCCAGACATCAAGCTTCATTCCGGGAAGAGGGAACATCACAAAAGGCAGAGGCACTGATTCAGCCTGAGAACTCCTGACCTCCTCCATGCGCAGGGGTGGCCTCTTGGCCAAGGGCAGGGGTCAGCTGCGTGGCCTCGACTAGGGGCAGCTCCAGTGCCTCGTAGGACCACACCTGCTGGGGAGGTAGGTGAGAGAAAGCAGAATCCCCCAGCAGCCTGGAGGGCAGCCAGCCCCTTCTCGGAACAGCCTGGGGGGCAGGTGTAGGCAGGGCCTGGCCTGACCTGTGACCCAAGCCAGGATGACGAGCCTGTCTCTGAAGGGGTACCAGACCTAAAGGAGTCAGAGTTGGGGTCTCCTGGGGCAGCACCTTCCCTTCTCGGGCCCACATCTTCTTTTCTGGGAGGTCCTGCTTCCTCCTAACATACTCCCCTCTGGGCTTCAGTGGTGAGCATCGACCTCTCACACTGGCCCAGGTCAAATGTTCAGCCGTGGCATTTACCTTGCTTCCTGGTGCACCCTCTGCTGTAATCCAGAACATGGGAGGGACCAGGCCTTTAGGAGGAGATGGTGACAGCCCAGGCTTGCCGTCCACCACCCACCACTGCAGGCAGATGTGGCCTCAGCAGAGCCTGGTTCCCCTCTCAGGGATCCTGGGAGTCTGGGGTGGCTGTCCAGATGCTCTCTCTGCCTCAGCCACCTGCACACAGCTGTCAGGCAAGCTCTGGAAAGCAAAGAGCAGATTTGCTGCCTTATGGAAGGTTCCAGTGGCTCCCGGCTTATCGGAGCTGGCCCCACCTGCTGTGTGGCCTCAGTGCAGCCATGCTGCTCTGGAACAGCTCCTCTCCTCAGGGCCTTTGCACTTGCCATTCCCTCCTTCTGGAATGCCACCTCCCCAGGTGGCACTGCTCACTCCTTCTCACAATTTGGAGGGAGATTACCTCTGTGGGGTGCTTCTGTCCACCTGCCCACCACATCATGCCTCAGTCCCTGTCCCCATCACAGCATACACGGGGACTGACACCACCTGCTCCTGTTAGCTGTCTCCTCGGCCAGAGGAGAAACCTTAAGAGTGGGGATCTTGTGTGTCTCACCCACAGCTTGTTCCCAGCACCTGGCATGGCCCAGAGGCCTCCCCCAAAGCTTGTTGGCCACTCAAGCCCTTGAATCCTTGCAGGCCCTAATAGGTGGGGGCTACTAGGGAAGCAGGGGTAAGGGCCCTGGGCTGAGGGCCGAGCCAGCAGCTGCCCAGCCCTGGTGAGGAGGGCATGTCTCTTGGCCACCTGTCCTGCACGCCTAGGGTCTTGTCTGTGCCCTGTGGCAGGTCCCTGTAGAGAAGGCTGGTGGCACACAGCTGTAGGCAGTCCTCCTTCCTCTTCACAGGAATGCTGCCTGGTGCTTCTACTCCCCCTTTACCTGGCAAGAGAGGCTCAAGGAGAGTGGGGCTGTGACCAGGAAGCCAGTGGCTGGAGCTGGGCACCTACCCTGGGGTGAAGGGATGGGGCTGCCAGGCCTAGCTGTGAGAGGGTATGGGATCTGTCTTCAGGAAGTTGCCCCTTATCCCGTCACCTGTCCTGCCCTGAGCCCTTTGGCCGGGTGGAACCGGCCTGGACCTGTTTGTGCAGCTCAGGGAGGCCAAGGGCTTGAAAACCAGCAAGTTGTTCTTGGACACACCTCTGACTCTCCCCCGCCTGCTCCTTCTGCCCATGCAAGAAGGCCACAGGCAGGCCCAAGTGCTGGCACTTTACCGCTTCTACCCTCCCTCACAGGGGTGGCTCCCCGTCCACAACCGGCTGGGAGCCAGCAACCCGCTGAGTCAGACTTGGTGCTCTAGCCAGACCCTCAGGTTCTGTCCACACAGGAGGACTTGAGAACTAGCCAGAGGGGGATTCTTCCCCCGGGGCCTGGAGCCCTTACGAAGGGGTTTTAGGCACGGGGCCATGTGGGCTGGGAGAGGCTTTCCTGGTCCCAGAGTCACTACTGCTAGCTGACAGTGACTTCCCCCTCCGCAGCGGGCTCTGGCCAAGTTCAGCCAGGCAACAGGGAGATGAGAGAAGGAGCAAATCAGGAGACTGTATCGCCAGCTGCGGGCCAGGCCTCAGGAGGCTGGCATTGAAGCTCCAGCCTTGACACACTCACTCTGAGCAAGGCCAGTCACTGCACGGGGGGGCTTCCCCAGTCAGCCGCACCCTCCCCAGGGGCAGGCCAGGCAGGAGGCCGCCTGGGACAGCTTTACGCCAGGAAGGCCCAGGCAGAGCTGGACGAGTGGCTCTGGGTTTGTGCTCTATCCCTCTGTTCAGATGACTCACACCTAGGGGACAGGGCTCCAGGCACTGGGCCATGGGCAGAGCACCCAGAGTGATGGGGCCATGTTCTCAGGAAGCAGCCCAGGTGTGGCCCGAATGTCCCACCCCACTGTGCTGCCAGTGTTCCCAGGACACCATGGGGGACAGTTGTGGACATCTGCCACCTCGCATGGTTTCAGCCCCTGATGAGCCGTGTCTGAAGCAAGACACTCCTGAACTTTTTGACCACACGAGTGAATAAACGTTCTTTTTATTGTTAAGTCAGTCTGGGTGGGGTTTCTGTCACTGGCAGTGAAGGGTTCTAACAGAAAACACAGCTTTCCTCAGCCATAGAGAGACGAGGGCTGGAGTGAGGGGCATCAGACACCTGGACACCTGGAGAGAAGGGAGATGGGGCCAGAGGCCCGGGCACATGCCTGGGACCCCCGGGGAGCCAGGCGGCAGTCCCACGCCTGGTGGGCACCCACAGCATGGCAGTCTGTCTGGCTCAAGGTGAGCCCGCATGCCTGGCCGGAGAAGGCCCAGCTAGCCAGGCAAGGTGCGTGGGCAGACCTTGTTTCCAGCCCTCCCAGTCTTCCCTGGGGGTGTGCTTTTCTGGGGGGCAGGTGCTGGGGTGCATGGCCTCAGGGGACCTCATTCCAGTCCTATCTTCCCTCTGGTCCTCTGAAAGGTGCCTCTGGTTGTCTAGCTCAAGGGATCATCTGGGACTACAGCTCCTAGGGCTGAGAAAAGGCACTATTTGTTCCTAAGAGGCCAAAGTGTTTTGGGTTTGCTAGGTGGACAGAGAATTACCTGAAGTGGAAAAGAAGGATGCCAACGTCCAGCACAAAGGCACTAGGATCCAGAGAGAAAGAGCCATTCCCACTGCACCTGCCACCTGTGGGGGCAGGGTCCTGGGGGACGGGGCGGGGGGGGGGGGCAGCCTGGGAACTCTGCCCTCGCCTGGGTCTAGGCCATGGAGTCTGCCTGGATGCAGAAGGGCCTGGGAGCCCCTCCATCAAGGCCGCAGACACGGTCAGCTGTGGAAGGCTGACCAGGAGACGCCCGAGGCGTAGAACTCCACGCGGCTGGGCCAGTCGCCGTCCCCACTGCCCTCCTTGTCCTCGTCAGAGTCCTCCTCGTCCCCGCTGGACGCCCCGGCGCCGGCCCCGGAGAGATAGGACTGCTGCCCGGGGGACCCCACGCCCGGCTCCTCCTCCTCCTCCTCCTCCCTCCGCTTGCAGGCGGCCAGCTCGCGGTAGCACAGGCTGCAGACGCGCAGGGGCTTGGGCGACAGGCGCGGCAGGAGGAAGCGCTCCCGCGAGCACTCGGCGCACACCACGAAGCCGCACTTGCGGCAGTGGTGGCGCCGCGTGAGGGCGGAGAAGCGCGTCTGCGTGCAGCGCATGCAGATGTCCGTGGCCTTGTCGGGGATCCAGGGCGCCGCGTGCTCCGTGCTGGGCGGGAGGCCCGTGGCCCGCAGCTGCCGCCGCACGCACTCCTCGATGTGGCTGATCCACTCCTGGCGCTCCGTGGCGGAGGCGGCCGACACCACGAAGGACTTCCTGGCCGTCTTGATCATCCAGCGGTTCTTGGCCCGCGGCGTCTCGGGCAGCGGCTCGAGGGTCACCTCCTCCAGCGGGATGACGTGCTGGCTGCGGTACTTGCGCTTGGGGAGCACCACGCTGCCGTACACCAGGATGTCGTTGAACAGGAAGAAGATGCGTGGTTTGGCCTTCTTGCGGCACTCCTTGGTGAGCACGCCCTCGCCCAGCAGCACCCGGCCGGGCAGGGCCAGCGGCTGCCCCGACGCCCCGAAGCAGCTCTCCACCGCCGCGATGCGCTGGCTGTTGATCTCGGTGTTGGCCAGGGAATCCACCATCTTCTCTGGCGGCCGGGCTGGGCTGCGGGAGGGGCGGCGGGTGAGGGAGGCGGCAGCTGGCTGGGGGCCCCGGCGCGGCGGTGGGAACCACACGGCTCTCCCCAGCTTACTGACCATCCCCCCCCCCCAGCCATTACCCCACTGGAACCCACAAGGCCCAGACGGCCAGCCAACCACAGACCTGCTGCCCCAGTAGCCAGAGCCAGCTCTTCCACAAGGAGCTGCTGAGAGATGAAGGAGGAGTCCCCAGTGGGGGGTGGGCAGGTGGAAGTCAGCCAGGGATGGGGGGACAGCAGCGAAGAGCGGTGACTAATCCAGGCCACCGCTGTGGCCCAGGGTGTGTGTGGGGGGTCAACTCCTTGGGAGCCAGAGAAGAACAGCCCCTACTGGTTATACTCAAGGGGCAAGGATACTGAGCCCCAACCCCCGCCCAACACCAGAAACCTGGCACTTGGGCCTGTCCCAGGTGGAAGGGTGCAGGGGCATGTACCAGGACAGCAAGTGCCAGGCACCTGCACCCCTAACCCACCATGGCCTCTGCTATCCAAGCCAAACCATCACAGACCTGCACCCGCTCCCTCGGCCTCTGGCTCAGTGGGCACCACTTGCCCCGTCACAGGTACCATGTGCTGACTGCCTCCTCCATGTCAAGCATGACTCTCTTATTTAGTCCCCACACCAATCCGAGGAGGCAGAATACCCCTCTGACGAGGGGTGGGGGGAAACTGAGGCTCTGTGAGTAAGTAGGGGGCCCAGAGCTTGTTCCCCGGGGGGACAGTGCCTTCCTCCATGGAGCGTGGGGTACTCTCTGTCCTCCTCTGCCAAGCATGAAACGTCAGTAGCCCAGATCTCATCCACGCGCCCCCTTGTTCTGTTCACACACACTTCCTTTGACCCTCGGGACTCGCAGCTTTGAAGACCACCCACATCCCACTGACTCCCCGGATCAAGCCTCCAGCTGTGGCTTCTCTGCTGTGCTGTTAAGCCTGGATATCCACCTGCCCACATGATTTCCCACCTGCTCATCTAAGAAGGTTCTCAAATTCAACATGCCCAACATAAACCCAGCTTTCCCCTCCAGTTCCTCTTTTCCATAAGCAGAACCACTGTTCACCCATCTGTTCAAACCCCAAATCAAGGACTCATCCTCCTCTTGCCTGTACCCCCAAGAGTCACCTCATGAATAAACTCCACCATTTTTCTCTCTCACAACTGGCCAGAGTTTGCCTACTTCTCACCACACAGCTACATGACTGAATCAACAGCAAGGCGCCATGAGGTCTTGCCTGAAATAGGCTGTCCCTGGGCTCTCAGTTCTCATCTCCCTTCAGAAAGGGTCTCTGACAACCTCATCTCAAGTACAGGGTTGGCAAACTATGGCCTGAGGGTCAAATCTGGCCCACAGCCAGTTTTTGTAAATAAAGTTTTATTGGAACACAGCCACACTCATTCATTTAAAATTGTCTGTGGCTGTTTTCATGCTGCAATGGCAGAGATGACTCATGGTGACAGACACCGTAGGCTATAAAGCCTGAAATATTTACTACCTGGCCCATTACAGAAAAAGTTTACTGCCAGTTTCTCTAAGACATTACCCTATTTTGTTTTTTCTCCCAGGACTTACCAGGATCTAATATTTTCTTGTTTATCATTTGTTTACATGTTTTTTATTTCCCTCACCGGGTTCTAAGCATGAGAACCAGAGCCCTTTCTTGTTCACTATAGTATCCCCGGTGCTTGAAACAGTGCCGAGCACACGGTAGGTGTTTTGTAAGTTGCTGGTGAATGAAGGAACCTTTCCAAAGCTCCCCGAGGGTCTGCCATGTGTGAGTCAGCCTTACTTCTGAGGAAAAAGCTGGTGAGAGCTGACCTCACAGCCACCACCATGTGCATAAGTGTGCCCAGGCACACACAGCATGACCCTGGCTGAGCTGATCACACACATGGTATTTCTGGGTCACCACACTGCAGTTCTAGAAGTCAGACCATGTATGGGAAACGAGAGTGGGGCCCAATGCAGAGGCTGAATGCATTGCACAAGAGGGGTGCTCGGCCCCCTGAGTCACATACCGCTTGCCCCCTTCAGACCACAGGGCATCCTGAGAAGTGCTGCCCACACCACCTTATGTAAGAACCACTATTTTTAGGTTGCTAATCTTGGTTTTGTGTTGCAAACCTCGCTGATTGTTGGTGACAGCCCTGGGCTGTCCTGCTAGGACGGATCAGTGGGTCCCTGTTGTGGACAATCTGGCAAAATTCCAGAGGCCACCCCCCCCCCGCCCCCGCCCCGGGCTGGGCTGAGTGCTGGGATGGGCCGGCTGAGGGCTCCACCGGAGCTCAGAGTGCAGCCGAGGGAGATCCCCAAGGGCCGTGAGTTCATGACCTGCTGCGGAGACAAGAGAGATGCCTAGCAGTGGGGGAACGGGTCCCACAGCTGGGCCACTCACACGTGGGAAGAGTGCCAGCAGCTATGATGACACCCAATCCACGCGGGTCAATGTGGAGTGACCATAGACATCAAACACTGAGTGGAGAGAGCAGCCTGCCAAATGGTATGTGACAGATCATGTGCAGACATTACACAACGTTGCAAAAGTGTTCAAGACACTAGATCTACGAACGAAGATGAAGAGGATGGAGCTTCACACTCACGGGGGTGGCTAACTGTCAAAATAAATAAGTAAGTAAATAAATAAATAAAACCCTAAAACCCAAGGGTCGGAGAGGACACGGAGAAGTTGAAACCCTGGTGCATTGTTGCGGGGGAGGGATGTAAACTGGTGTCGTGCTATGGAAAAGAATATGGAAGCTCCTTGAGAGATCAAACACAGAAATAACATCTGACCCAGTAATTCCATTCCTGGGTGTCTCCCTACAAGACGGGAAGCAGGGTCTCAAAGTGGTACTGTACACCCACGTTCACGGCAGCGTTATTCACAGCAGCCGAGAGGTGGAAGGAACCCACATGTCCATCGACGGCTGAAAGGCTGGACAAAATGTGCAACAAAAAGTAATTCAGCCGTAAAAGGAAGGAAATTCTGACCCCTGCTACCACGTGCATGAATCCCGAAGATATTTATGCTCCGTGAAATAAGTCGGTCACCAAACGACAAGTACTCGTCCGGTTCCACTCCCATGCGGCATTGCAAGCAGTCAAATGCATGGAGACAGAAAGTAGAAAGGTGGTGGCCCAGGTTGGGGGGTGGCAGGAGGAAGAAGAGCTGTTATTTAATGGATAGAGAGTTTCAGTTTTGCAAGACGAAAAGAATTCTGGAGATGTTTCACAGCAATGGAAATATACTTAATACCACTGAACTGTACACTTAAAAATGGTTAAGACAGGTTAAAATCAAATGATGGACCCAAACCAAAGAAAGTGGCCTGGAGAAGGGGCACCTGGATGTAACTAGCAACGGCGGGGAGGGGGGATCAAGCAGGACTTCACCTTCATAATATTCTTTCTTTCATTTAAAAAAAAAAGCAGCAACAAAGTGATAAAACACAATACCGGTCAATTCCAGGAAGTGGGAACGTGAGCGTCTTTTTCTTTCTCTCTGTCGAAATTTAAGGTCCTCAAAAAGACAAGCCACAGGACAGATTCTGCACCCAGAGCTCTGAGCTCTCCTGACTGGGAGCTCCACGCTGCGGGGCTCACGACGGGTCATCTGGTGGGGCCTCCCCTGACCGCCCAGGGACACAGGCGATGCCGGGAGGGAGCCCTGAGAAAGGATGCCACTTGTTCCCTTCAAGCTCACCTATGTGTCACCTAGTCTTGTGGCCACAGACCAAGGCTTACTTAACACATTTGGCAGCTGAGTCAGACAGACAGACTATGTGCTGAGACAGCAGCCAGCAGACGGCCCCCATCCGGCCCTGGGGGTTTGGTGAGCTTGAGAGACCAGCTTGCCCATGTCCCCCTCTGACCCGACATTACCCAGGGGGGGAGCCTGCAGGAAGTGAAGAGCAGCACCCAGGGAGGGGAGAGGTTTAGGCAAGAGAGAGCCTACAACACTGTCTCCTTAGGACAGGGGAGGAGAGAGCTGACCCACACCTCCTGGGGCCGACCTGCCTCAGGACAGCCTCTGGCTTTGGGATACTGCATGTGTTGCCTCTGGGCAGGGTACCCAGCACCTAGGGTGCTGGCAGAGAGTGGACACTTCTGAAGGGTGAGTGTCTGGCAGTGGGGCAATGAACAGAGTTGCTTTTGGGGGGAGGGTTTGGGAGGCTGCTAGGCTCCTGGGCTGGCCCTCCTGAACACAAGTGATCCCACCACCTGAGTGGGCTGAAGGTACGTGGTGAGCACAGGGGTCTGGGGAGCCAGGATGCGACAGTTGCTTGATGGCCAGGGTTCTGTGCATGAGGGCTGAGGTGTCACATGTGATCTCTACCAGGGCTGGCCAGCCCACGTCAAGTCTGATCCAGTGCCCACTTTTCTAAATCCAATTCATTGGAATGCCATGACAGAGATTGGCTTACAAAGCTGAAAACATTTACCATTTGGCCCCTTATAGGAAAAATTTGCAGACCCTCATCTATGCCTGATCTGTACCACCCCATGCTGTCAAATGTATAAGACACCTACTCCAGGAACACACCTGACATAGGGCTGTGTCCTGAGTGAACTTGTTCTCTCCTCTCCTCCACTCAGAAACAGTTTGTGTGATTTAAGAGAGATGTATGGGATCCCACCTTGGGAACCCTGGAAAGCAGGTGGGACCCAGCTCTCCTGTGAGAGCTATAGTTGGGGATATCAGAAAGGGAGGTATCTGGCCAAGATCACAGAGGTGGGGAGTCAGGACGCTGGCCCCTTATACCGTCCTTTGGCTTCTACTGACTGGGGCCAGGCTGATTCATTGCCGCCCCTCCTTCCCTCTAGCCCCAACCAGGTCCACTGTGCTCCCAGGCCTTCTGGATTTCACCTTCCAAATGTGTACTGTAAGTCCTACTGTGCTTGGCACCAGGTCACAGCAAAGAAGTAGGGACCAGGCCCTTGAGTAACAGGCTCCCCAGTGGGACAGTCAGACTAGTACGTAAATCAACAAGGTAATGTCTGCTCGTGCGTGTGATAATTGCCATGAAGCAAAAGGCTGATCTGACCGGCAGAGCTGGGATGGGGGTGGGGGTCAGGCAAGACCTGGTGAGGAAGTAACCTTGCACCAACCTTAGGCTGCATGAAAGAGCCAATCATGCAAAGGCTGGAGGAAAGAATGTTCTGGGCCTTGGGAACAGCTCAAGAATCTGATCCATGGAGGCCACGGAGGAAGGAGTGAGGGTAAGAGTTAAGGTCAAAGGGGCCAGCAGAGGCCAGTCGTCAAGGTCCACAGGCCGAGATTTTTCTCCAAGTACACTGAGGAGAGTGACATGATCCAGGTCCCTTCCTTCCAGAGGGGCTACCCCTCAGCCATGTCTAACCCTGTGCTTCCTGGAGGCCCTTCTCCATGAAAGAAAAAAAAAAATAGTAATAAGGAAAATAAACCAAAGGTGCTATTAACTAGGAGCTTATAGTTCACCAGTTACACCAGTAAGCACATTATAAGTATTCTCTCACTTAATCCTCAAGAAAGCCCCATGGGGGAAAGTACCACCCCCATCATCAAAATTACTACCCAAGGGCCCAGCAGAGTGATGCAGGAGCCCAGCTCCAAGAAGGCTGTTCTTGACCAGACAGAATCAGAAATCCTCAAGTTCAAAGGGCAGGGTCCCTCTCTAAATGCCTGATCCCCTGCCCCATCCCCAACCCCATCCAACTCAAGGATCACTTGGGGGTGTCCAGGGCAGGTCCCTTAGCTCAGCTGGGCTGCCTCCCCTCCTGTTTTGGCAGCCCTGAGGGCTGTCGTGTGCAGGGACACAGGCCAATGTCAGAGTCATCTCTCAGCCTGCACAGACCCCAGTGGAAATTATGTGCCCAGGAACAGCCCAGTACTAAGTGGAAACTGTGCGCAGAATGACCCCAGCAATGATCCTACCCTCCTTGCAGGTTTCTGACCCTCTGGGGTGAGATAAGAACTTTGTTCAAATTGCAAACCAGTATTTTCCTTGAACTGTGGAGATGGAGGCTCAGAGTGCCTCTGAACTTTGGAAATTTCTGGAACCTTCGGAACCTTCCTGTTCTCCCCATGTAAAGGAGGCTGAAGACACCACTCCTTAACTCCTCAACTCCTAAACTGAAGACACTCCTCCTTAACCCTTCAGTGTTCAGGGAGAAAGAAAGGAAAGGAGATTCCAGCTGATTCCAGGCTGGGAAAGAACAGCCATCTCTATGGGCCTGCCTTAGTGCCATTTCCTTAGGCAACTTTAACCAAAATCACAAACTCCAATGCTTCAGGGGACAGGCTGTTCCACAGTGAGAGAGGACAGAGAGGACCAAGGCCGCCCAGAAAGCACTGTCACCCTCCCCCCACCTCCCAGGTCCACTGGGGCAGCTGACTCTGCTCACTTGTGCAGACCCCAAAAACTGGGATCAAGATGTGAGGTCCTGATGGCGGCCTCAGGGCAGGACTCTCCGCCAAGGGACGAAGGGTGTGCGGAGATCCCTGCCGCCCCAGGGGGCAGCACCCGCGGGAGCCTCCGAACCTCCTCCGCTCCCAGGTCTCGCATCCCCCCAGGACCTGGCTTCGACCCCAGAGCTTCTTCATCTGTGCTCACCCGCTCTCTCTGGAGCCCCTGCAGCCTCCACCTTGCCTCCTGCACTCCCAACCAGCAATAAGCGCCCTTCCCCGCGCCTCTGCTCTGGGTCAGAGTCCGAGGTGGCCCCTGCTGCTGCGTGCCTGTCCCTCCCGAGCCCCGGAGCCACCTCCACAGGGCGGCCAGGGGACTTTGGACCCGCCTTTCCCGCGCGTCCCTGCCGGGTCCGAGGACCTTACCTCCTCCGCCGGGTCCCTGCGCGCCTGAACCCCGCCGGCACCCGCTCCGCAAGTCCACTTTCGTCGTAGCGTTCCGCTCCGGGTCCCGGCCCCGCGGCGCCTCGGACTCCGCAGCTGTCCCACTCTCTCCGGACACGCCCCTCGCGTAGGCTCCACCAGTCAGAGCCCCGGGGCGCGGGCCGGGGCGGAGCCTGGGCTCCCCACTCTCCCCGCAGGAGTTCCCGGGAAGAGAGCAGAGCACAGGCGGTTAGAATGGGCTTGGGAGTAAGTGGCCACCGCCGGCAGAACCTAGGCCACGGTACCTTTCGGGATCTCCCGGGGCTGGTTCTCCAGTCTGACTCCCCCAGCCACTGCCCAGTTTCCCGTGGCTCCCGCCACAGCTCCGCACCCTTCCTGCTCGAACCTCCCTGGAAACCATCCTTGCTGGACTTCTAAGGGAGGCGTTGGAATTACTGTGCTTTGTGCTGCCTCTGGCGAGCCTCATTGCTGCTCCCTGACACGGTCATCCCCTCTCCGCAACCGAGAAACTAACAATCATAAACTTAAAAATCAGCAAAACTTAATACTTTTTATATTTTAAACTTCTTATAGAGGAAGCTTGCAAACCTGCATTGAAGGAGAGCCCAGTTCAGTGGACTGCATGATCTCATCACGCCCTCCAGCATTCCCAGCACCTGACGCTGCTGCCCCACCCGGACCCTCCCCTGCCTGTTGGGACACTGGAATGAAATTCCAGGTCTCACGGCTCCAGGAGGCCTGTCCCAGCCTCCTTCTGGTCCCCTTCCAGCACCTCATCCCACACTGGCTTCTTCCTGTTCCTCAAAACCCCAAGGTTGTTCCCACCTCTGGCCTTTACACATCCCTTGCCTCCAGCTCTTCCCATGGCTGCATTTTTGGCATTCAAGCCTCAGCTCAAACTGCCATGTCCTCAGAGGCTTCCCTGACCACCCAGAGCAACTCCCCGCCTCCAGCCCACCACCCTCAACTACCTCACCCAGTTTTATTATTTTGTAAAGTATTTCTACAGCCTGAAGTCATCTTATTCAGTGACTTGTTTACGTGTTCTTGGCTTGTCTCCCTTACCCCTCACCGACTGGACTATATTGATCTTGTTCCTTTATCTCCAATGCCCAGAACCGAGTTGAGCACTTAGTAGAAATGCGGTCATTGTCTGTCCCACAGATGCAGTTTGTCTTGCCAAATTGGGCAGATGCTGGGCACTTTGGAGAGGAGCCGGCTCTGGCCAGTGCAGTGTCTGCTGGCCAGGACCACGACCAGAGACAGCAGCAGGAGCAAGAGCTGATCCCACCAGAGGCTGCAGCAAGGAGGTCTGAGCTGAGCAGGGGTGACCTGTCCTCCTGGGTGGTGCAGGCAGAACCTGTGAATTGGGGGCTGGACTCTCCCAGCACAGGACATGGGCTAAGAAGGAAAGGGGATGAGAAAAGGGAGGAGAAGGGAGGGAGAGGCCCGCAGAAAGAAGAGGGGTGGAGGTGGTGGACCAGTGAGAGGGCCACCAGTTGGCCTTGGAGAGCCCCCCTCCACCACCTTCAGCTGTTAGCTCCGCAGCAGCACAGCCAGTGCTTACTGAGCTTATGGCCTCAGAGAAGTAAACGCGTATGAAATGCATTGCCAACCTTCATATTTCAAGCTTTCACATAAAATTCAGGATTTTCACCTTCTCGTAAATCAGAGGATTTGAAAACACGGTCCCCCATCTGCTCGTGGAACTGTACCCATCAGATTGGGCACGTGACCCCATTCACCACAGTCCCACCTCACTCTGTGGCTTCCCTCTTGCCCCACGTTACCTGTTTCTGTGCTTCCAGTCGACTAAGCAGGTGCACTGAGCAGTCCTGAGGGGACAGCTGGGCCTCTGCACCATCGGAGGAGAAGGACACCAGGCCCAACCATCTCATAGGCTGACGTAGAATCAGGAAGGTCAGTTGGGACACTGAGACATCGGGAAGTGCCACCCCCAGTGTACATCCTGCTTGTTGCTGGGCTGGAGGGGGACACTGCGCTGAGCCTTCAAGGCCATGTTCTGTGACTGCTTCAGGACCAGGTCCCTCACCTCCCTAGCAAGAGGGGCTTCATGGGGAAGGTAGGCCCTGCCAGGGGTCATGGAAGGGAACCAGAAAATCTTTGAAGTCAGGGCTATCCAGTTAGAGACATCACCCTGCCAACTATCACAGCACCTGGCACACAGCAGGTGTCAGGAAAGGGAGGCCTCTCCATGGTTCTGGGAAACTGGAGGGAGGAGGCACACCATTGGTCTGGAGGTAGGAGACCTCAATTAGCTTTGTCTCACTGCCGGTCGAGGACCCACTGGGGCCTTAGTCTCCTCCTCTGTCCCTGGTTCCAGTCCTAACATTCTGTGTCTCTGGGTGGAGCCCTGGGAAATCCCTTGGAGGCTGCAGAGAATCTACTCCTCTAGCCATCGCCCCTTCCCAGCAGGGACCAGCTGTGGGTGGAGAAGACCTGGGCGGAGGGCCTGCTCCTCCAAATAAGAGGAAAAACTCGTGACTCAGGGAAAGGCAGAAGTTGACTCAGCCAAGCCACAAGCTGTGGAAAAAATGAGCTCTCCCCGAGGCTTTTTTTTTTTTTTTTCCTCCTGGGGTAAGAAACCCTTTCTGAGGGAAAGGTGGATTCCAGAGTTCTGGAACCAGGCTTTCAGGAAACTTCCAAGGCTCACAATTTTCAGGTTAGGAGTTCTGGCAATCAGCTCTGTGGACAATGCCAGAAATTTTTATTGGATCTTTTTCTTAAGTTTTGTCTAAGTGCCTAGTGCTGTGAGCTAAATACTTCATATTATCTTATGTCTCCTCAGCCTAGACCTGTCGTTCCCCACCTTGGGCTTGAGAAAGTGAGGCAGACACAAAGTATTTAGGGCGAAGGATCTGGACCAGCATAAATGTTGCAGCAAAAGTAAGGGAAAACACATGGGGCAAAGTAGAAACAGGTGCTGACACTAGGTCAGGGGTTGGCAGAATTTTTATAAAGGGTCAAATAATCAACAGTTCAGTGTCTGTGTGCCCAGACCCCTGGCAAAAATGCAGCTCCGCTGTTGCACCGAGAGCAGCCCTAAATGGGCGCCCACCCATGAGCGAGCTTCCCTCAGCGACGCTGACGTCTGAGTGTTTGATCAGGTTCGTGTGTTATGAAACTTCATTCTCATTTTCACTTTTTTTCCCCAGCCACTTAAAAATATAAAAGCCATTGTTAGCTCACGGGTCATGCAAAAACTGGAGGCAGGAGTTTGCTGCCCCCTGACTTACAGATAGTCCGTCATTGTTCCTTACAACACTTCTCCTTTGAAAATATTCAAAACAGAAAGTTGGGCAAACAAGTAAAGAAAAAAAAAAAAAGAAACAGTGGTTGTCCTACTTTTCACGGCCGGGTCATGAACTCGATTTCAAGTTGGCTCGCTTCCGGCGATTCTGCGCGCTCTTGCTTTATCAGTGACACACCTGAGGCTGAGTCCACAAGCCTCGGAGACGTGGACATTAGGAAAGATTTCTCATGCAATGGTTAGGAGGATTAATTTTAAAGGAGGAGCCGCTGAGAGGTTTGTAACTGCTGGATTTTTTTTTTAAAGGGTCGTCGGGTTTTGGATTGCTGAAGTATCAGATATGAAACTGAGAGGAATCCTGCACTCTGTGCAACCACTGAACAGCCGTGGCTTCCCCTCCCCCCACCTGCCTCTGCTGTGTCGATATTTACTCCTTCCTGTGCGTGTGTGTACCCATGCGTGTCGTTCCAAGTCTGCCCTTCCTTGTCACGTTTGCGGGCAGTGTAGACCCGTTTCCCATTGCGGGTGTCCCCATGAGGCTCTGACCAGGCCAAAGGGGAAAACCAGAAACACAAGAAGAGAAACACTGCCCTTTGAAAAACACTTCAGATGGATGAAATAAATGTTGCATTAAAGATAATCTTCAGAATGATTTATTCACACCTACTTTCTCAAAGAGGGTAAAGCTGAGAGGCCTCTGACAGCAGGGGATTGTCAGGTTCCATCTGGGTCATGCATTCATTCCACAGTTCCTGGACACTGTTCATGGCCAAGCGGTGGAGGCAGAGATAAATGCGGCAGGGCCTCCGCCCTTGGGAGGCTTGCAGTGGAACAGGGGACAGAGCTGTGAGAATATGTTCATCCATGAGGAGCCAGAACTGCTCACTCGGAGCAGAGGGCATCTCAGGTGAGAACTGTCTGGGTTGGATACCACATCTTGGAGCACAATTTTGGCACCAAAAAGTCAGCCCTTGTGGCCTGACTGGCAAAGAACTCTTCATGTGCTGCATTTAAGGCAAGACAGGAATTTTAGGGACCAGGAGGATGGAAGCTAGAGAGAGAAAAAGGAGGCCCAGTACGTGGTGTGGGAGAGGGCCAGCGGAGGCTTTCTGGCTGAGGAGTGGGGCTGGGGCGGCTGAGAAAGGCTTCCAAGGACAGGGGCGGGTGATATTCCATTTGAATTACTTGCTGGGCTGCCCGAGATGCCCCACGTTTTGGGCCGTCACCCCTCAAAGCTTCATGAAGTCCACACCTTTGCTGGCAGATGCAAATTATTATATCCAACTTCCACAGCGGCCAATGTGGCAACATCTACCACCTTGAGAAAGGCACGGGACCTTTTGTCCCACTAGTCCTCTCCTAGAAACTTATTCTTAGACATTATTGTATTTGTGCAAAAGGATATATGCTCATATGTATTCATTGCAGCTTCACTTACCATAGGAAATAATGGGACAGCCTAAATATCCGTGGACAGAGAACTAGTTAAATCATGGACCTCCACAACGTGGCAGGGCTCAGCGCAGTGAAAGGGAGGAAGGCAGGTCCCTATGACCCGATGTGAAAGGATTTTCAAGACCTATTGAGCGAAAAGGTAAGGTGCAAAGTGTATGTATACGTGTGACTTCCTGTATGAGTATGTGTGAAAATTATTGCCGGCACGGTTGGTGAGAAACTGGTCCCAGCAGTTTCCTCTGCGGGGGAGGGCAAACGGGCGGTGTGGACCTGTGGTAGAGAGGGGCTCACATCTTCTACCCTTGCTGATTCCTTCCCA